CTCTGTGCCTTGGTGTTTTTAGCTTTATGTGTTTTCAGTTAATTTTATCTAATTCGTGTTATGTTAATAAATATGTACATAAAGATTATTTCTTATTGGAAGAGTAAGATTAGTAGGGGTCGGAATCCAGAATTATCTTCAAAGTCCAGCCATTGACTACTACCGTTTATTGCTACCCCATATTACTATGTTCTGCTGCTTTTGGAGAGACAACTATTTAAATGTTTGATAATATACCACGAAGAATTAAATATATTCACAATTATGTTGGAATTCTACAAGATTATAGAGGAAGGTCCAAATCTGAAACCTTAAGTTGACTCTAAGTGCGGTACTTTTTCCATGACATGAAAAACAAAGGAATAATATTGTACCAAGTTGGATGGTACATGCCTGAGAAATGAATATTTTAACTAACAGAATTTGGACCTCAAAATCACCTTAATTGTTGAAAACAGTAAGTGTAATAGATATCAGACTACCATCTTAAATGTAGGTTTTCTACAGCTCCAATGAGAATGGACAAGTATACTGTTTTCTGAGCTATTTGTGGTACCAAGATCCTCAGTAGAAATGTACATTTATTACATATTTGGTAGAACTAGAAGTCATTGCACAAAGTTTGAGAAATAGAAGAGGCATGATAACATAGTAGTTAAAAAGCATGGATTTTGGTATTAGACGGCCTAGACCTGCATCCCTGTTTTGCCACTACCAGTTAGGTGAGCTACGATAGGTTACTTACCTCTCTGTGAACAGTTTCCTTATCTGAAAATGGTAGTAATAAGAGTAAATAATTGTGTCTTCATCAGGGGGTTATGAGGTTTAAACTGGCGCATATTTGTAAAGCGCTTAGAGTGGCACCTGGTATGTAGTAAATGTTACAGAAATTTTGGTTACAGTATGGATCAAGATTGGCAGACTTTACAATGTATACATGTCATACCTTAACATACACATAATTACAGGGAAAAAACTGTCCTTTTTAAAAAACAAATTTGTCTTCATATTATCTTTAAGAAAATATGATGGATTGAAAATTAGTATATCCAAAATAGGGTGCTTTTACACTTCTAAAAGCCAGATCATGTTATTTAATGAGAATTTTAAACTGATTATGTTTTTCATAGCCTTTTGGAAAGCACTTTTAAGCCATATACAGATTTCAGGGTCTCCTTTAACTTCTTAAATTAAGTCATTGTATCACATAATACAGCATTTATAATAAACATGTGGCTGTTTTGTTTAGTAGTGACTTGAAATACTGCTTAGCTGTCAGATAATGGTGCCCATACTGCTTGATAACATTAATTAGATGTATTTATTTTCAAACTGTGATAATATTATTTATACAACACTAGTATTCTGTTATCAGTAGATTTAAAAAATTCAACCATAAACAAATTTTGTAGAACTTTTGCTATTCATGGTTTCAAAGAGTTTTAAAATTTGGTCTGCATTTTAAAATATTTATTTTTTACAGACTTTTTTTTTTTAAGGGTAGTTTTAGGTTCACATTAAAACTAAGGGGAAGGTACAGAGAGTTTCCTCATACGCCCTGCCCCTGCAGACGCATAGCCTCCCTCATTATCAAAACCCCTCACCAAGATGATACATGGTTATAATTGGTGAATTTATACTGACCCATCATTATTATCCGAAGTCTATAGTTCTCATTAGGGTTCACTCGTGCTATTATACATTCTTATGCTTCGGACAAATGTATAATAACATGTACCCATCATTATAGTGTCATACAGAGTAGTTTCACTGCCCTAAAAATTCTCTGTCCTCTGCCTTTTACTCCTCTCTCCTTCCCAGCTCCTGTACTGAGCTTTTTATTGTCTCCATAGTTTTGCCTTTTCCAGAATATCCTATAGTTGGAATTAAACAGTGTGTAGTCTTTTTAGACTGGTTCCTTTCACTTAGTAATATGCATTTAAATTTCCTGCATGTGTTTTTATGGCTTGATAACTCATTTCTATTAAGTGATGAATAACATTTCATTTTCTAAATGTATCTCAGTTTATTTAGCAGTTCACCCACCACAGGACATCTTGGTTGCTTCCTGCTTGGCAGTGTTGCATAAAGCTGCCTTAAACATCTGTGTGTAGGTTCTTACGTGGCTGGTCTACATTTAAGTCAGTTGTTTAAATTGGCAGAGCTCTACAATAAGTTTACGTAACCATCTTCTTCTTGTAACTACTAAAGTATAAAAGAATAGCAGTGAAGTCCAAGTGAATGGAAAGTAAATTAAGGTGTGTTTTATTTTAAAAATTACAATGAGAAATTCACTGTTGTAAAACATTAATTCTGAAATATACAGGGTAAAGAGTTAAGTAGCTCACCTCACCCCTCATCAGTTCCCTTTTACTGTCCTCAGAGATAACTTCTGTCAAGGGTTTGTTTTTTACCCTTTAACTTTTCTGTGTATGAAATGAACAAATACATGCTCAAACTCACACTGTTTTTTGAAAAAATATGTGGATTATACCACACATATTTTGCTTTCACTTTACAAGTTACTGAAAATGATTTCTGTCATACCCTTAACTGTTCAGTTTTAAATGATTAAATTATAATCTGTATTAAAGGTATTCCAAAGTTAATTTAACCATTTCTTTTTTGATGGACAGATAAGTTGCTTAGCATTTTCTTTCTCCCTTCCCCTTCCTACCTTTATTTGTTTTGCTGTTTTAAATAATACTGCTGATACTGCTGACGCTGAACATCTTCTCTAACTTGCTGATATGCATGCACTCTCACATGTGTTAGTATTTCTGTTGCCTAGGTTCTTAGAAATGGGAGTTTTTGTAGAAAAACATGCATGTTTGAATTCTGGTAGATACAAAATGTCCTCTGTTGTAACTTTAGTGTGTACTTATTTGTATTCCCTGTATGTGAAGCATTCTAACGAGGGGCTTTGACACTGTCAAAAATTTTTAAATATAAGTTAGCTCTAAAATGTTTGCCACCATGACAATTGAAAAGGATATATGATTGTTGCCTTAATTTTTGTTTGTTAGTGAAGTTGAGTGTCTCTTAATAAATTTATTGGCCAAATTACATTTTTTCTGTGAATTATCCATTCATATTCTTTTCCAGTTTTAACAGTTGTTTATCCTTTTGCCACCTTGTTATCTTCAGTTGGATCTGTAATGGAACTCTCAACTTGACAGTCTAAAACTACATTTCTTTCCCTCTTGATTCTTCTCACCCTACAGGTTCATCCTTTCAGTTGCTCAGACGTAAAACTTAGGAGTCATACTTGCTTTGCTTTTCTCTCTTCCTGTACTTCTAGTCCATTAGTAAATCCTGTTGGCTGTATTTTGGAAATGGATACAGAATTTCACCACTTCTCACTACTGCCATTGCTGCCACCATCTTTCATAACTTGTCTTCCTTTTTTAATACTTAATGTATGTAGTCAGCATTCTACACAGTAGCCCGAAATATTCTTTCAAAATATGTCCATGAATTTCATGACTGTGTTTAGAATCCATCATCGTATCCTGGCTCCCTCAAAGTAAGACCCAGCTTTCTTACCATGGCCCACATAAGCCCTGTGTGATTTGGTCCCTAGCGATAGCTCTGTCCTCGTCTCCCATTTCTCACTCTTCCTCTGTTCTAGCCATCCTTGCTTTTATACTGTTTCTTGAAAGTCCTAAGTACACTCCGAACTTGAACTATTGTTCTCTCTGCCTAGAATGCTCTACTCCTATCTCCACAGATCTCTCTTAAACTTTTTTTTTAAAACAAAGATTTCTTGAATTTCAAATATGTACAGTGTGTTAGACTGTAGAATTATGAGAAAAAAGATTTATGTCCCATGCCTTCAAGATATTGTTATCTAGTATCAATACAAATATGCGAACTAAGTTGAGAGAAGAAAAAAAATATGAGTAGATATAGGATTTGTCATCCTTATAGTGGTGATATGGTGGCATTTACTTTGGAGACCATTGTGTGATCATCAAACTTAGTAAAAGTCTTGAAAAGTAAGATCTGTTTTATTTATCTTATAGTATTTAAAATAGCACCTATAAATTATATGTTTGCATTAACACAAAATGTATTACCTAAATATATATGGATCTGTTCAGATATATCTTACTATATAGTAAAATTTTTGGAATTT